TTGTTCTCCACGTCTGTGCCTCTATTTTTGCTTTGTAAATAAGATCGTCTATGCCAACTCACAAGGACCGTGCTTTAGAGAGGGCTGTTTCTCTAGGTTCCATCTCTCTAGCCAGCTGGGGGCCCTTGTGTCCGCACAGTTACAGAGTGACATGCCAACAGTGTGGGTGGGGGCTCAACCTTCCGGCTGACAACTCCCCAAGGGTGCCCTTTTCATGACCACCAGAGCTCCTTTGGACCAGCCCCAAGGAATGTGAATTTCCTTCAATGCCCACTTCTTGCTATTGTGGCATCTGCCCTCCCCTTTCCCAGAGTTCTGTGCCGAGCAGTAACACACACGTTTCTGTGCTTCCCCTTCCCTAAGTTTCTTCTGCTTGGCATTTGCTGGGTTGACACAGAAGAGGCACTGTGTGAAGCTCATCTTAAATACCAGGGAACTTGGGAGAATCTCAGGATACAGAGGGAGTGAAAGAGATCTGTTTGCTGGTTGTAAGTAACATCTGACACTAGGAATGCTAATGATAAGCCATGAAAGTCAGCACACCCCACTTCCTGCAGAAGCAAGCTGATGGTTCACCTTCTCCTTTAGAATATATGGATACGTCTACTTCAGCAGCCTTCCTTTTATTACTGAGAGTCTCAGCATCCACATGTTGTACATATTACTGGATGGGATTTGGGGTGAAGTGTTAACTCCCTGAAAATTAATTTTTTAGAAATAATTTGGCAAGAAAAAGTTATGAAATATAATTCAGTAGCAAATGCACGATCGAGAGAGAGCCCATATGTTGGATAGTAAAACCTCCCCAGAAAAGAAAATCGATGGCTTTAATTATGAATTGTCAGAGTGACATTTGGAACCTGAGCAGAAGTACCATCCCTGGAGTGCTAACTCTTAAGTTCTAGAAGTGTAAGATTGGCTTCCTTCCCTCCTGAGCAGGAATGCTTTGTTCTGGGATCTCAAGGATCTAGTTCTCCACCTGTGGCCCAGCTCTCAATAAGCAGTTGATTAGTTCACAAGTGGGCTGGTCTGATGAAATACCTTTGTGTATAAAGCTCTATACAAAGGAAAGAATTTCTTGCAGGGTTTGTTTTCTTTCTTTTTTTTTTCTGAACAAAATGCCTTCTCTGACTAATATTCCAAATAGTGGGCTACAGAACATGGATTTCTTGTACTGTTCATAGAGGTTCAATACATACAGGGATTTATCATTTAAAAGCTTGGGAAACGTTGCATTAAAAATAAATCTAGGTACTTCCCTAGAGATCCAGTGGTTAAGACTCTGTGCTTTCACAGTGCTTTCACTGTAAGGGGCAAGGGTTCAATTCCTGATCAGGAAACTAAGATCCCACATGCTATGTGGCATGGCCGAAAAGAAAAAGCAAAAAAAAAAACAAACGCTTGCTTCTGGGTGTGGCTCTAGAATGACTGAAAGCAAAGTCTTAAAGAGATATTTTCACAACCATGTTCATAACAGCACTATTCATAACCGCTAAAACATAGAAGTAACCCAAGTGTCCATTGACTGATAAGTGGATAAACAAAATGTGGGCTATACATACAAAGAAATATTACTCAGCCATTAAAAAGGAAGGAAGTCCTTACACATGCTACAGATATAGATGCAATTCAAGGACATTATGCCAAGTGAAATAATCCAGTCCACTTAACATGCAGTGGGCAACCCACTCCAGTATTTCTGCCTGGGGAATTCCACGGAGAGAGGAACCTGGCAGACTACAATCCGCGGTCGCAAAGAGTCGAACAAGACTAAGTGATTATCACTTTCACTTTCAGGGTGTTCAAAACCCTAAAGACATAAAGTAGAATGGTGATCGCAAAGGGCTGATGGAGGGGAAAATGGGGAGTTATTGTTTAATAGGTATAGAGTTTCGGTTTACCAAGATGAAAAGAGTTTTGGGGATGGATGGTGACGATGGTTGCACAACAATGTGAAGGCATTCAATGCCACTGAGCTGTACATTTAGAAATGGTTAAATGGCAACGTTTCTGCTATGTGTATTTTAACACAATTTAAATTTAACACACAAAAAAGAAGAAAGACAGATCTAAGAATGTTTGTTTTAACTGCAGGATATCTCAGATCTTTTTTCATGCCCAGTTGCAATATGATTTCAAATGAGAGGGTGTAAAACACATTTTCTCCAAACAGAATATACTTCAGAAGTTGCTCACATAAACCACCTTTTCTTCTTTGGTCTTTTCCTACCCCCTTTCCAGATACATTTTTTGAATGTCTGAGGAATGTTATTTCTTATAAAAATGACAAAATCAAAATCTTCCATGGGGAGTGGACTAGGTTGACTCTTGAATTTTGGTTGTTGCTGTTCAGCCACTAAATCATGGCCAACTCTTTGCAACTGGCAGAGGTTGCCATTTCCTTCTCTGGTGGACCTTCCAGACCCAGGGATTAAACCTGCGTCTCCTGCATTGGCAGTCAGATTCTTTACCACTCAGCCATCGGGGAAGCCCCTGATTCATGACTATGGGGGCCTAATATTATCCACAAGTTGGACATCTGAGGAGGAGAAGAAGGAAACATTGTGCAGCGTTTCTCAGGGAAAAGTGGGTGTGGGGGGTAACTTCTGCCTGGAATAGTCCCCGGCACCTGTGAATTTAGGTACCACGTAGCTTCACGGTTTAGGCAGGGACCACCCAGAGTTCATTCCCCAGGCCTCACAAGATGCTTGCTCCTGGATACATTTCCTCAGTTCCCACATCCCCTCGCCTCAGAGACACAGCCCTACTACCCACTCTCATTAAAGAGGCACAAATTTGGGGAAAATGGCATGAGTTAAGCATTGAGGAAAACACACCAACTCTCCCACAATGATTTTATCATTTACCTCTGCCTTTTCTTTTCTTTTTTTATTTTGTTCTATAGGTCCACTTATAGCAAAAGAAGAATCAGTCATCTTCCCTTGTGACACTTGAGGCTTCTGGCCTTTGACTCAACAGACTTCCAGTCTTAAGAAAAGTAGAGCATCTGACTCAGGGGAGGGCAGGGGCTGAGAGACAAGCCTTGGAATTAAATTAAGATGTTGGAGTATTCCTGTGTGTGCCCTTAGTCTTAAAACACAGTGTACTTTTGGACCTATATCTACTTATAAGGAACCTGTCTATCATGAATTCTATAAACATGGTGATAAATTCTCTAAATTTCAAATGGGGATGCATCTATCTAAAAGAAGTTCTGTGTTTTTTTTTTTTCAGCCATGCCACACAGCATGCAGATCTTCATTTCCCAACAGGGACTGAAGGTTTGGGAGTGCAGAGTCTTAACCACTGAACCATCAGGGAAGTTCCAAAGATTTTGTAAGTGTGCGTGTGTATGTGTGTGTGTGAAGTCAATTAATCTTTATGAGCTATAGGTTAATCCCATTTAGTTAGTAATGGAAATCTTTTATTGGAGAAAATAGAATTTTCTAAAATCACGACTATACCAGGAGAGCTGGCATAGAGGTCAACATCCACGACCGCACGTGGCACTTAGATTGCAGATCCATCCTGAAGAATGTTTCTTTCGTAATTCTCTTGTGAATATGGACATGGTCCACTCTGCCAGTTATTTTTTTTTTTAAAGCTGTTATCACTCAATGAACATCCGTGAATGAAGTTTCCAGATAGGTTTTTGTTTTTTTTTTTTAATCTCCTTCAAAAACTGTAGTTTTCCCACCTGGAGACACTGTCCACCAACCCTCTAGGGCGTGAATATGTTTCAGAATCATGAGACTCCTTGTTGATTCAAGCATTCCAAATCTGTGTGTCATACAGGAGTGGAGAACAGATCCAAGTCTGAAAACCACATCCCTGAGTTTCCTGTGTTGTTTAATAAAATATTAAATTAGCACCCACCCTGTCTGTTTCTGTTGGATTTTAGACAACCATGTGAGCGTAAACATCAATCCAGGAGGGACTGGAGAGTGGGCACTGTGGAACCCTCCCTACCAGGTCCCAATATCTGAGTCAGAGCTGGCTTGCAGTTGGAAAACAGCAGGGCAGTTGGACCTGATTAAATATGAGAAAGTTTGCAAAGCAGTGTTGATCACCCATCCTACATTTGCCCGTCACCTTATACAGGGGAGAACTTGGGCCATAATCCTTTAAAAAAACCAACAATTCAGCGTCTCAAGAAATTTTAGCTTTTCTTGCTTTTAAAATGAGTGTTAACTCATTTCCTGGAGCTTTAAAATTTTCACTTCATTAAAGGAAAGTGAAACATCCATCGTGGCTCACTGGTGAGGAATCGACCTGCCAATGCAGGAGACGTGGGTTTGATCCTTGGGTTGGGAAGGTCCCCTGGAGAAGGAAATGGCAACCCATTCCAGCACTATTGTCTAGGAAATCCTATGGACAGAGGAGCCTGGCAGGCTACAGTCCATGGAGTCGCGAAAGAACTGGATGTGACTTAGCAACTAAACAACGCAAGGGAAAATACCAAATGAATTTCTACCATCAGTCAGTCAGTTCAGTCGCTCAGTCGTGTCCGACTCTTTGCGACCCCATGAATCGCAGCACGCCAGGCCATACTCCTTCCTAAATCCATAACAAAATGTGTATCAGTAAGTTTCTGAAGGACCAAAATTTATCCCCAAAATTCGCTTGTAGAGACCAAGACTCGGATTTCTTATTCAGTGGAGTTCTGGTAAACGTTTAACGGCATAGTAGTTGCAGACTTTCGGGTGCTGCCCTCATTGATTACTTTATTGATGTGTCATAACTCAGTGTAGAGTTGGGTTGTTGTTTAGTCACTTAGACGTGTCCAACTCTTTGCAGCCCCATGGGATTTCCTAGGCAAGAGTACTGGAGTAGGTTGCCATTCCCTTCTCCAGGGGATCTTCCCGACCCGGAGGTTGAACCCGGGTCTCCTGAATTGCAGGAGGATTTTTACTGCTGAACCACCAGGGAAGCCTGCAGAGTCGGGAGAGCCGGGAAAATTCAGCCCTTGCAAGCCAGTAGGAGCTGGTTCCAGCACACTCATGGACCGCCATTCTATTTTGTTGGTTTACGGAAACGAGGCCATGATTAAGGAGGGCCAGGGGCATTCAGCTTCCCCAGCGGCTCAGAAGGTAAAGAATCTGCCTTCAATGCAGGAGACCTGGATTCAGTCCTTGGGTCAGGAAGATTCTCTGGAGGAGGGATGGCAACCCACTCCAGTGTTCCTGCCTGGAGAATTCCATGGACAGAGGAGCCTGGTGGGCTACAGCTCATGGAATCCTAAAAAGTTGGACATGACTGAGCAGCTAACACATACACGCAATCTTCTGGTTTCCAAACTTTGGTGTGAAACATTATCATTTAAAGTATAGAGGTTGCTACAGATTTCTGGGGCTGAGACCAGAGCATCTGTATATTTAGTAAGTTTCCCAGGTGATCCTGATACTGCAGTCTGAGCTCTGCTTCCTATATTCATTCCTACATAAGGACAGTCTTATATATGTAGTACTGCCATTCCTGATCAAGAACTCTACATTTTCATGAAATATGTTTTCATACCATGAAATTCACTAAGATACTGTTAAAATAGACTAAATTCACTAAGATGTAATGAAAATAGATGCTAATGTTCAGAATGAATAACGATCCTCCTAGTCACTTTGATATAATAAACTATTTTCAGCTCATTACTTTTCATTATCCAGAATGTTAAATATGTTATTAAAACCAAATTCCATATATTTTAGAAATTAGATGAAATCTTTATGGAGCACATAAATATGGTCATCCTCGAGCTGTGAAATATCTTTGCATCAGACATTTTCTTTGTAAAAGTGATTTATACATCAGGTATCTTTGCTCACCATCAATTTTCTTCCAACAGGATCATGTCGAGTTTGCAGTGAATATAATGATTTGTTTATGACAAAAAAAAAAATTGTATAAACACACCAACTTCCTCCGGAAAATGTTTGGGTGACTTTCCGGAAGGTTTTGTAGGGTTATTTTATTCCTTGTCAGGAATGAATAAATGCATTTCATTGGAGATGACTTCACTGCTTCAGAGGTTATCTTTTCTCCAAAAACTGCATTCACTCCACAAATGTCTACCAGGTCATTTTCTTTACTCTAAAGCCATCTACAATCTATTTGGGGTCAAGAATTCCTCCTATTAACAACTAGAGAAGAGCACAGAAGGTGTTTGAAACCATGGCTGGTATCAACTGCTGTGTGTACGTTCCAGATTGTTTGTGGGGAGTGACAGACATGTAAATAATCACCGCTGAGCGTGACAAGTACTGACAGTGACTAACGTTTCCCTGATGATTCAGGACAGCTTCACAAAGGGAGTGACATGTGATCTGGGTCTTCAGGATAATTCGGAGTAGTGATGGTGGAAGCAGGGAGGACATTTCAGGCTTCAGAGGAATGAAACTCAGGCACGAGGCTCAACAGCATATCCTTTCAAACACAGGGCTGTGCTGGGCACTTGGGGGAAGGAGAGTAACTAAGTGATGAAGAAAGTGATTTAAAGCAATTGTACTAATAGGACTGAAGCCTGCCAAACTCCTCTGGTCATGGAATTTTCCAGGCTACAATACCGGAATGGGTAACCATTCCCTTCTCCAGGGGAACTTACCCACCCAGGGGTCGAACCCTGGTCTCCTGCATTGCAAGTGGGTTCTTTACCGTCTGAGCCAGCAGGGCACTCAAAGTATTCATGTGCCATTTGGATGCCTGAGATTTGTAAATATTAGAGAAGGAAGGGGAAGGGACACAATTAAATGCCATGGGGTACATTGCAGATATTAAGTAGTAGTGGGGGACTGGAAATAAGTGACAGAGATGTGGGCTGTTGTATTGAGGGAAGTCTTTCTGGATTAAGGGTATTCTGCCAAGAGGAAGTGCATTTACACAACCAACACACAAGCCAACAGAGGTGGGAGAACAGACTTTATGGGTGTGCTCAGTCGTGTCCCACTCTTTGCGACCCCATGGACTGTAGCCCGCCAGGCCCCTCTGTCTGTGGCATTTCCCAGGTAAGAATACTGGAGCGGGTTGCCATTTCCCCCTCCAGGGGATCTTTCCGACCCAGGGATCAAACCCGCATCTCCTGCATGGTAGGCAGATTCTGTACCCCTGAGCCACCAGGGAAAGCCCACTGTCTGGGTAGCAGGAAGAGAATTAGTGTGCAGAATAAAGGGCCCTGGTGGGCCAGGTGGAGGCTAGGAGGGGGGTGTGGTGGGAAACGTAATTCAGAATCCTGACTTGGCTCAGGACTAGGCAAGGATTTGGGGGGAAAGGGAAAAAATCTTTATCTTTTCAGATCCTCAGTTTCTTTAACTATAGAATGGGTTGAGTAAAACCTACCTCACAGGCATGTGAGGCTCAAATGGGGCAATTTGGAAAATTGCCTGTGGAAAAGTTCTGTAAACTGATGTGTACTATTAATATAAATGTGGGAGTATCAGTGAATGGGATTCTTGAACATTGGTTCCTTTATTCAAAGCCACAGCCTATGCTTAAATATTTAGGCTTTCATAAATGGCATTTTTCAGCATGAGGATATACGTTGTGTGCCAAATTTAGATCTTCACCTAGGGCCAACCTCAGAACTGAAACATTTCTAGTTAAAGAGCCTATACATGTTTTAAAAAGCAAAATGTGGCTTCCAGTTTCTTTTATTATACCTTAAATGATAAACTCAACAACTTTTATGGTTTAAATTCTTAAATAACAATACTAAATAATTAATGGTTAGCATTTTAGTGATTTTAGCCTGCCTTAGTTTTTCTTGAATGGGTCGTGGTTCCTAAATACAAAGAAAATAGAAGAACTTGCTTTATTTAAACTGAAAAGTATTCATTGCTGATCTGATTAATGGCTGTTCTTTTGGGAAACATTGTTTGGAAATGAAAACAAGGCTTCTGACCTTAAAGTGTCCATGGATGATCTGATTTTCTCATCAAGTGAAACACTAGAGGTTAAAATAACTGAGCATGATTTTAGGTGTAACGTACCCTCAAAATTCAACTGGCTATTCTCCATCTGGCCACCCAGCTATGCCTGCTAAGTGATATAGATACGATAAACAGTATTTTAAACATTCTTTTGTTTAGCAGAGAGTGATATTTTAAAAAGAAAATTACATTTTACAGTTTCCTTTAAACTTGCACAAAAGGAGAATTTTCAAAATATGTTTCAGTTTTTTTTTCTTATTTGGGGAATGACAGTCTTTCTCATATATACAACTTCAAATCAACCACATCTTGAAGTTTTCACTATTTGTGAGAAGGACACCAAAACTGAAGCTGTTATCTTGTTCTGCAGAGCTTCTGTCTCAGCTAAGCTCTGGGGCCCCTGTGTCTATTTTGGGTCTAACATCTGTTCAGCTCATGCACTGATCTTCCCTTTTCCAATTTCACTTCACTGTGTTTCTTGGTAGAACCACCCATTTGGATGTGCTCAATGACATATTACTGAATTCCTTACCATCACAGGTCTTCCCCTACCCCAACACATCTGGAATAAAAATGAACTCGAAAATGTAACAGCAAATTACGTTTCCACGTCTAATGAAGGAAAAGAGATAGTAGATGGCTACCACTTTTCATCCCAAACTACTCAAAATACTTCTCACATATGGCTCAAATCCTTCATATTTTCAGGTACACTGTACTTATTTCCCTAAGAAGAGGAAAACACCTTTCTTTTGCTCATGTTAAAAGTGTAACAAGAACAGGATGGCTCAGCTTATAGGGTAAATTCTAGAAAATAAAAATGGGGGTATGCGGGCATTCCAGCCTCTTTGGTTGTTAGAAGGGACAAGTTGAGTTTAAATGCTGCCAAAATGATTTGAAGGAAAGTGACAAATTAATATAAACCAGCATCATGCAATCTTAAATTCCCCAATTCTTTGGGTGAATCTGATTATTGTTGCTCTGGTGGGAGGTTGTTAACGATATTATTTTATGGATATAAAATAGCACATGGCAGGTTAAAGATAGTGTTGCCGAAACTCCGCCTCTGTTCACTGGTGCGGAATAGAAACACGGAGACAGAGTTTTGGCTGCAGTAGAAAAGAGTAGCTTTTATTGCTTTGCCAGTCAAAGGGGGCCACAGTGGGCTAACGCTCTCAAGACTGTGTGAACCCACCCTGGATGGGGTAGTGAGGAGTTTTAATAGAGTTCATGGAGGAGGGTGTGATCAACTCATGGACAATTCTTGGATTGGTTGGTATCAACGTGCAGTTTCAAGCATCATCAATTTTCTGGTTTCAAACAGTCTAGGATCTATGTTCTTATAGTCAGCAGTTTTCAGCTGGAGGGGGATCTGCTTCCTATAAAAACAACTCAGGAGTGAGTGTCGGGCCTTTATCTGTATCTTGCAGGGAACTGGCAGTTCAGTGATTCTGCTATGTGGCAGAAATATAGTCTAAATTGTTACCAGTTCCCTAGTCCAACAGCTATTTTTTTCTACACCTTCATATTTCCCAATCTTTAACTCTTGAGTCAACATTTTACTTCAAAATAAAGGACATGGGAGCTGTGTACAGTTTCAATGGCCACAGGTACTATATGACTCCTCCCACTGAGAAGTAAAGGCTGGCCTCACAGGCTGGTGGCATGTGGTGGGAGTGACACTCTGGACCCCCAAGCTGTGTCATAAGAAGTCTTGCTGCTCCTGCTTTTGTTTCAGGAACACTCTCTGCAGCCGTGAGCTGCCCTCTAAGTCCACTGGGACTGCTAGGTGCGTCCCAGCAGTGGGTTCTCAGGTTGCCAGTCCAAGGTAAGCCCAGCCTTTCTATCTAGTTTACCAAGTCCTGTAAACCAGATCAGCCCACCCGGTCAATGCCATGTGGAACTATGGATCACTCAGCTAAGGCCTGCCTCACTCCCTTAACCACAAAACTGTGATATAATAAAATGCTTGTTGTCTTTAGCCTAATAAATTACTGAACACAGAGAAAGGTACATTCTTTGAGACAGCTGTAGGATTTCTAGGTAGCTCAGTGGTTAAGAATGCACCTGCCAATGCAGGAGACTCAGGAGACATGGGTTCGATCCCTGTGTCAGGAAGATCCCCTGGGGAAGGAAGTGGTAACCCACTCCAGTATTCTTACTTGGGAAATCCCATGGACAGAGGAGCCTGGTGGGTTACAGTCCATGGCCCCCTGCACTAAGAGTGCAGAGTCTTAGCCACTGGACCACCAGGGAAGTCTAAAACTTCATTTAAAAGTCCAAAACTTTTAAATGAAGTACAGATGGCACTTTCTTACAATCCAATTTTAAATTTAAGTTGAAGTTTTTGTTAAGCTTTTACAGTTTCTGTCAACTTTAAATAGAATATATGTAAGTCAATGGAATGTGTA